TAGTGGTTACTGATGTGAGTTGGTCAGTTGCAAGGAATGAGCCTAACACCGCTGATCTCACCTCCCACGTCACAGAGGTAATTAACTCAAAGAGATCTCTCGTGTTGACAAAGTAAAACGCTAGTACAACTAACGGTCGAAATACAAAGTGTAAATGCTAGCAAATCCCACCTGGCAGCAGCTAGCAAGTGCCCGACCAGCTACTGGCAACCACAGATAACGCAGCAGCATCCAGTACACCGACAAAAACTACTAAAAAAAATACGTTCTCTTGGGCGCTCCAGACTCCTCTTCACCTCCTCCTGGGGCTTACCTTAACTTTCTTCTGCTTACTTAGAAGAACTTGTCTCGGGGAGGTCTCCGGCAGGCTGGAGCTACCGCCCTCTGTTCCCTTTACTGCCTCTGCTGCCCCGTTCCTCGTCGACTGTAGACACGACGGCGCTACCCCCTCCCCTGACGACCTAACGGAAGGGAAAGATGGTCTTGAATGAGGTTATGTGGTGAACATGATGAAAAAAAAACACTAGGTTCAAAGGGATAAAAAATGGGGGCTAAACGTATTAGACAGACGGGGGAGTAATTAATTAAACGTATTAGACAGACAGGGGAGTAATTAAATGTATTAAATAGATGGGGGTTAATTAAACGGAGACAGAAAGACGGGGATTCATGGGTCGAGATACAAAGGGATATACCGTAAGTAAAGTGACAAATACGTATATATATATATTTTATATATATATATATATATATATATATATATATATATATATATATATATATATATATATATATATATATATATGTATATATATTATATATATATATATATATATATATATATATATATATATATATATATATATATATATATATATATAATGTCGTGCCGAATAGATAAAACTGGCCAATTAGCAAGAAATCAATTAAAATTAAGACCTTCCTGAAATTTTCTCTTATACGTTTAAAGGTATTTTCTTTTTATTTATGTTAATGTAAAAAATAATAATTTTGTAACAAAAGATCCTTAGAGAATTGATCTAACCTTATTATAACAAGTGCAATTTAATTTAGCCTAATCCAACTAAATATATTTTAGATAAGTTTTCAGTAATTAAATAATAAACAGACACAATGAAATATATTTTTTATTAGGTTCGGAATGATTTTTGCGAAATTATTGCATACACAAATTTTTGCTTGCCTTATTCGGCAGGAAGAGCGTTGCTATTTAAGACAAAATCCCAAGTTTTACCTATTCGCCACGACACACACACACACACACACGACACTGGAGGACAGTAGAGATAGGGGGGACATGATAACGACATACAAAATACTGATAGGAATTCACAAGGTGGACAAAGACAGGATGTTCCAGAGATGGGACACAGCAACAAGGGGACACAGTTGGAAGCTGAAGACACAGATGAATCACAGGGATGTTAGGAAGTATTTCGTCAGCCACAGAGTAGTCAAGAAGTGGAATAGTTTGGGAAGTGATGTAGTGGAGGCAGGGTCCACACATAGCTTTAAGCAGAGGTAAAATAAAGCTCACGGTTCAGGGAGAGTGACCTAGTAGCGATCAGTGAAGAGGCGGGGCTAGGAGCTAGGATTCGACCCCTGCAACCTGAACTAAGTGAGTACAACTAGGTGAGTACACACACACACACACACAAAAAAAAACACACACACATACACACACACACACACATATATATATACATATATATATATATATATATATATATATATATATATATTATATATATATATATATATATATATATATATATATATATATATATATATATATATATATATAGTGTGAAACGAAAGCCTGTAATTGTTTTACATGATGGCAGGATTGCTGGTATCTTTTGTCTGTCTCATAAATATGCAAGATTACAGGTACGTCTTGCTACTTCTACTTACACTTAGGTCACACTATACGTACATGTACATGTTTATTTATACACACTCATCTGTGTTTTCTTTGATTTTATCTTAATAGTTCTTGGTCTTATTACTTTTCCTTTTATATCCATGGGGAAGTGGAATAAGAATCTTTCCTCAGTAAACCATGCGAGTTGTAAAAGTCAACTAAAATGCCGAGAACAATGGCTAGTAACCCCTTTTCTTGTAAAAATTACTAAAATGAATAAGAAGAAGAAAATTGTCAAAGTGGGAAGTCTGAATGTGCGTGGATGTTGTGCAAATGATAAGAAAGAGATGATTATGATTGTTATAAATGAGAAGAAGCTGGATGTCCTGGCTTTAAGTGAAACAAAGCTGAAGAGGGTGGCAGAGTTTCAGTGGAGAGGAATAAATGAGATTAGGTCTGGAGTATCAAATAGAGTTAGAGCTAAAGAAGGAGTAGCAATAATGTTGAAGGATAAGCAATGGCAGGAAAAGAGGGACTATAAATGTATTAATTCAAGGATTATATGGAGTAAAATAAAGGTTGGATCTGAAAAGTGAGTTATAGTAAACGTATATGCACCTGGAGAAGGGAGAAGTGTAGAAGAGAGAGAGAGATTTTGTGAATTGTTGAGTGAATGCGTGGGGAGTTTTGAACCAAGTGTGAGACTAATGGTGGTTGGGGATTTCAATGCTAAATCGGGCAAAAATGTTGTGGAGGGAGTAGTAGGTAAATTTGGGGTGCCAGGGGTAAATGAAAATGGGGAGCCTTTAACTGAGCTATGTGTAGAAAGAATTTTGATAATAAGTAATACTCATTTTATGAAAAAGAGGATAAATAAATATACAAGGTATGATATAGCACGTAATGAAAGAAGTTTGTTATATTATGTATTAGTGGATAAAAGGTTGATGGGTAAGCTCCAGGATGTACACGTTTATAGAGGGATAACTGATATATCGGATCATTATTTAGTTGCTGCTACAGTTAGAGTAAGAGGTAGATGGGAAAAGAAGAAAATGGCAACAACAAGCATGAGGGAGGTGAAAGTGTATAAACTAAGGGAGGAGGAAGTTCGGGTGAGATATAAGCAACTATTAGCAGAAAGGTGGGCTGGTGCAAGTATGACTAGTGGGGGGTTGAAGAGGGTTGGAATAGTTTTAAAAATGCAGTTTTAGAATGTGGAGCAAAAGTTTGTGGTTATAGGAGGGTGGGTGCAGGAGGAAAGAGGAGTGATTGGTGGAATGATGAAGTAAAGGGTGTGTTAAAAGAGAAAAAGTTAGCTAGTGAGAGGTTTTTACAAAGCAGAAATGTTATAAGAAGAGTAGAGGATATGGAGAGTAAAAGAAAGGTGAAGAGAGTGGTGAGAGAGTGCACAAAGAGAGCAGCTGATAGAATGGGGAAGGCACTGTCAAGAAATTTTAATGAAAATAAGAAAAAAATTTGGAGCGAGTTAAACAAGTTAAGAGAGCCTAGAGAACAAATGGATTTGTCAGTTAAAAACAGAGTAGAGGAGTTAGTAGATGGGGAGATGGAGGTTTTGGGTAGATGGCGAGAATATTTTGAGGAACTTTTAAATGTCGACGAAGAAAGGGAAGCGGTAATTTCATGCACTGGCCAGGGAGGTATACCAACTTTAAGGAGTGAAGAAGAACGGGATGTGAGTGTGAGGGAGGTGCGTGAGGCAGTACATAGAATGAAAGAGGGTAAAGCAGCTGGAACTGATGGGATTATGATAGAAATGTTAAAAGCAGGGGAGGGGGATATAGTGTTGGAGTGGTTGGTACTTTTGTTTAATAAATGTATGAAAGAGGGGAAGGTACCTTGGGATTGGCAGAGAGCATGTATAGTCCCTTTATATAAAGGGAAGGGGGACAAAGCAGATTGTAAAAAATATAGAGGAATAAGTTTACTGAGTATACCAAGAAAAGTGTACGGTAGGGTTATAATTGAAAGAATTAGAGGTAAGACAGAATGTAGGATTGCGGATGAGCAAGGAGGTTTCAGAGTGGGTAGGGGATGTGTAGATCAAGTGTTTACATTGAAGCATATATGTGAACAGTATTTATATAAAGGTAGGGAAGTTTTTATTGCATTTATGGATTTAGAAAAGGCATATGATAGAGTGGATAGGGGAGCAATGTGGCAGATGTTGCAAGTATATGGAATATGTGGTAAGTTACTAAATGCTGTAAAGAGTTTTTATGAGGATAGTGAGGCTCAGGTTAGGGTGTGTAGAAGAGAGGAAGACTACTTCCCAGTAAAAGTAGGTCTTAGACAGGGATGTGTAATGTCACCATGGTTGTGTAATATATATATAGATGGGGTTGTAAAAGAAGTAAATGCTAGGGTGTTCGGGAGAGGGGTGGGATTAAATTATGGGGACTCAAATACAAAATGGGAATTAGTGGATGAGTTTGGGAGTGTGTGTAAAGGAAGAAAGTTGAAAGTGAACATAGAAAAGAGTAAGGTGATGAGGGTATCAAATGATTTAGATAAAGAAAAATTGGATATCAAACTGGGGAGGAGGAGTATGGAAGAAGTGAATGTTTTCAGATAATTGGGAGTTGACGTGTCGGCGGATGGATTTATGAAGGATGAGGTTAATCATAGAATTGATGAGGGAAAAAAGGTGAGTGGTGCATTGAGGTATATGTGGAGACAAAAAACATTGTGTATGGAGGCAAAAAAGGGAATGTATGAAAGTATAGTAGTACCAACATTCTTATATGGGTGTGAATCTTGGGTTGTGAATGCAGCAGCAATGAGGCGGTTGGAGGCAGTGGAGATATCCTGTCTAAGGGCAATGTGTGGTGTAAATATTATGCAGAAAATTCGGAGTGTGGAAATTAGGAGAAGGTGTGGAGTTAATAAAAGTATTAGTCAGAGGGCTGAAGAGGGGTTGTTGAGGTGGTTTTGTCATTTAGAGAGAATGGATCAAAGTAGAATGACATGGAGAGCGTATAAATCTGTAGGGGAAGGTAGGCGGGGTAGGGGTCGTCCTCGAAAAGGTTGGAAGGAAGGGGTAAGGGAAGTTTTGTGGGCGAGAGGCTTGGGCTTCCAGCAGGCGTGCATGAGCGTGTTCGATAGAAGTGAAAGGAGACGAATGGTATTTGGGACCTGACGATCTGTTGGAGTTTGAGCAGGGTAATATTTAGTGAAAGGATTCAGGGAAACCGGTTATTTTTATATAGCCGGACTTGAGTTCTGGAAATGGGAAGTACAATGCCTGCACTCTAAAGGAGGGGTTCGGGATATTAGCAGTTTGGAGGGATATGTTGTGTATCTTTATGCGTATATGCTTCTAAACTGTTGTGTTCTGAGCACCTCTGTAAAAACAGTGATTATGTGTGAGTGAGGTGAAAGTGTTGAATGATGATGAAAGTATTTTCTTTTTGGGGATTTTCTTTCTTTTCTGGGTCACCCTGCCTCGGTGGGAGACGGCCGACTTGTTATATATATATATATATATACATATATATATATATATATATATATATATATATATATATATATATAAATATATATATATATGTATATATATATTATATATATAATATATATATATATATATATATATATATATATATATATATATATATATATATATATATATATATATATGTAGATAGATAATATCATTTATTAGCTTATAAGGACAATAGGGTATCTAACTGAGCCTCCTAAATATGAGGTAAAGATATATTCCCCCAGGAAAAAAGAGGCATATCCAAAAAAAAAAAAAAAAAAAAAAAAAAAAAAAAAAAAATCAATACTTCAGAAACCAAAATAAAGATAATGAAGTAATCATAGTGATGGTATTTCAAATTCAGTGCAATAAATTAATATTCATTAATATTCATGAAAAATATTTATAGAACACAAGTCGTAAAGAATAATTTGAAAGGTTAGAGGAAGAGCAATTGAACCGACTATAAAGAATACGGTTAGGTAGGAGGAAAAAAAAATATGGCATTTAAAAAAATTTTGAAATAATAATTGCATCATTATTGAAGGTGATGAGTAAAACAAATTTTGAACCAAATTTCAGAAATTGGCAACAAATTTCTGTACACAGGAACATATTAAAGAGTCAACTTTAGAGAGACAAGGAAATATGATATTCATTTTATATCTATGAAAAATAAAATCAGACATATAAATTACATAAATCCACTTTGAAGAAGTGATATTCTAAGTTAGGTAGTTTATGTAGTAAAGGATTTTTTTTTTTTACAAACAAATTAAGTAAGCAAGATACACTTGATCACGTAAAGAAATTAGTTTGACTCAAATTAGCTACATAAAGGCTGAGAAAAATTAAGTCTACAAAATATAATATTCATGTATATAGAATATTTTCTGTAATATATCATCATTAGCATTAAACAATGAATCATAAGAGAAAACACACACACACAGTCACAGGTGAGGCCAGGAGCTAAACCTCGACCCCCAGAGACGAAACTCGGCGAGTACGCGCACACACACAGGTTCGGGGCCATGAGCTGTAAATCTACCCTTGCAACCACAACTAAGTGAGTACGGTTTCTAATACTTACTCCTTCTCCTCCTTCATTGGTTCCAGATTGAGCTCCTCTGGCTTGGGATTTTTGATAATGTGGCAGTTATCCTCCCCACCAAGACCCACCACATCGTCCCCATCTTCATCATCCTCGTCCTGCAACCAAGAGCAAAAATGCTTAGTAACACCTGAGAAGAAACAATATCGAAGTTAACACTAGCGTATTTCTTTGTACATCATCATGACCCATGAAAAGACTATTGATACTATAGAAGATAGAAACACACACTTTATGAATAACTTAGGTATAATAGACACTTGTCAGTGTTCAGCAATAATTCACATGGAGAAAGACACTCAGAAGGTTAACTGAGCACTCAGTATATATTTTCATCCAAATTAAGAATTTTCTGTAGGCAATCATTTAAAGTGGGTGTCTAGGTAAACCGAAAACATTTGCTTCTTTTTTATACTCTTCAACATCTATTACAGTTTTAGCTCACCCAAAAACATCTACAGTCTCTCGAAATAATTTAAATAGTTGTGGTATAACTTCGAAACGTTGGCTGAACCCCGCAAGGAAAGAGTGAGACTTCGAGTACCTCGCTTCCCATAGACCACACACACACACACACACAAAACAACATTGTGATAATTTGCGTCGCTCCCGCGGACGACAACGCATGTGCGAGACTTCGTGAATAAGAAGCCGGTGATCATTTGTTATTACCAGCAGTTTTGCGTTGTTGCTACTATTATATTCCTCAGGTAAAAAAAAATCGCCTGACAAGGGTCGCTGTCATGAGGTGACCTTGTTCATTGGTGACGGCAATGTGGCAAGAACATGGCAAGAGTCGCAAGATGTTGTGTCTATAGCCACAAATGGTGTTCTAGCCATTGGGACTATGAAGGATAGTCAGTAGCAACAGTTAACTTTCTAAATTTCATTACCATTGTTTCATACAAATTATTATTATCGTTATTATTATTATTATTGTTATTATTATTATTATTATTATTATTATTTATTATTATTAGTATTAGTATTAGTAGT